TCATTCTCTGTAGCCCCTTGCGTGGTAGTGGAACTTTTGTTTTGCTTTGGGTGAACGGAAAACAAAAAAATAACTTTGATCGAAATTAACTAAAAAGTTCTGGATTAAGGTCTTCCATCTCTCTTTTCAAATCTCTCTTCTCTCTCTTGTTTTTTTGAGTTCTGATTATTTTCTTTTCCTAGACTATATATACAATATACGGCGAGAAAAATTAGTTTGCGCTGGCGAAAAGAGATGGATTCATACATTTCCCCATTTGAATTTGCGTGTAAGTGAATGTGATAAATTCGACTGGAAATCGAACTGAGCTCTTGATTTCAAAAATTCAATCTCTCCATCAATTGAACAATTAAGTCGTTATTTTCGAGGAAACAAATAATTCTACTCATAATCAAATAGGGAAAATTTCTTTTAAATTTTAAAAAAATTAAATAAATGCTAATGGGTTTGAATTTCTACATTTATTCTTTTTCTTGTCTCAGCAACACTTAAAAAAAAAAAAGGTTTGAAATTGTTATTTTTTGAACAAATAAAAAAAAATCAATTATTGTCCATCATCTCGATTGTGGTCTTGCTTTAATTTCTCAATTTTGTTTGTGCGTGTCATTTTGTAATCTAAATTTTTGAATTGAAGACACCATCTGGATTGATCCCCTTGGCGCAGAAGAGAGTCAGCCAACCAAAATTAGATTTTTCAGACAAGATGAGGTTTTACATTATCCATCAATAATGAAAGTTACAAATAAATATCAACGGTTTCATTAACCTTTCACAAGACACGGATCAAATGATTGGTTCAATTTCATTGTTGTTTTATTTAACCAGCCCTCAAAAAAAATAAACAAAATAGACAGTTTTTGGAAATTTTAAACGGTCATTATTTTAAATGTTTGATTTGTTGCAAATAATAAACTCTGTCCGATAACTTCAGCAAGAGGCAGACAAACGTCTCTTCTTCTTCTATGTGCTGTTTTTTTTTATTTGTGGCTCTTAATAAATTTTGTCTGTTTGTTATCTCTCCTAAACCGTGTTCAGCCATCTATAAACTCAAGTTCGGTAGGTAGGTAAGACGGTGCTTTTCTCTGTCCATTTTGCTTTTAATACGTCCTGTGAGTATCAAATTTTCTAAGCCATTTTCCTCATTATACGCCCTATAAATTTCAACTGTCTCTTTCTAATGATAAGTATGCGCCCTTTTTATTCCATTTTCTCTAAAACTTCCTCATTGCTGACATGCTTATTCCATGTTATTCTGAAGAACCACATTGCTTTTGCTTCAAGCCTCTTCTTCATCTGCGAGGAGATTGTCCAGCATTTATTGAAGAGTACTGATATCTCGTAACAGTCTAGTAATCTTCATTTTGTTTAGAACGAAATTTTCCTGTCTTTTAAATATTTTGTTTAACTTTTGGATGGCACGATTGTCTTAAGAAAAATGTTTTTGATGAATAATGTATTTTGACAATAAATTGTTTTCAGTTTTCTAATTTAGAATAATATATAAAATTTTAAGTCTTTCTCTGTATTAATTTTTACCGATTAGTTGATAATGTTATTAAATAAGAACTATATTTACTAATCATTAATGGAAAAGCTTGTTGCCATTCATCGAACACAAATATTTTTAAAAGAATTTCGATTTTTTGTGTGTATAAACGTACCGTTTTTTATAAATAAGGTCGTTCATACATGACATTATCAAAAGATAAGTGCGATAACTATAGTAAATGTACCTGAAAAATAATTTTTAAAATGAAGGAAACGGGGAATATTTTCTGTTTTTTTTAATTTAAATAGAATACTGGATTATATAAAAAATTATTTAAATGAGGCGCTCACGTTATATTCTTCATGTAATTTTTACAGATATGTCCACTGTAGGAAAACATTAAGCAAATTTCTGCCTTTCTGTCAAGCTTAAGCAACTACCTCTGCGTTACAAATGCATTTCTGCGGTATTTAAATTGAAAATGAGTAATATTTGTTCCAATCAGGTTAATTAAAGATTAAATCAGCTATTATTCCTCAAATAAAGTTTCAGAATAGTATATTTTCAAAAGATTTCTTTAATAAAGTAGGTAACATTGTGATTGCAGATGGTTAAAAATAGCGCTAAAATCAGCGATGTTTAGTGATTTCAAAACTAATTGACTAGATATTGATAATTTCACAAAAATTTTCAATTGAAATCATCGTATTTGCCGGCCTGTTAGAAAACCCGGTTTTTTTATATGGGATATTTAGGAAAAAATGCACATGATGACAGACAAAAATCAAAATTATAGCCGTAACCTTTATGTGACATTCTCACTAACCATGATGTAAAACTTACATTATTTAACAAATTATACGATTGATACGCCAAAGAAAGAAAGAAATGAAATTAAGGTTTAATTTGCAGGACATTGGAAAAGAAGAATTTTAGTACATTTCATGATGCATTTATTGAAAATTATTTTAGTTGTTTTCCAGAGAGTAACATTTGCACATTTAGTAAATTCCTAATAGCTACAAAGAAATCTACTAGTATCAGTCGACACTAGTACATATGGTAATAGGCAAAAAAAAAAAAAACAACAGAAATATGGTACTTGTTGGTAAATGAAATCCCATACCATACGTACAGAAAAACAAATTCCAATATCTGTATATCAACAAAAACACACACAAAGCAAGCAGCAATAGACCAGTCAAAGTAAATATTTCTGTAAAATCTGATATTTCTACAAAACAAGCAGCAAAATATCTTGCAATTCTATAAATTTAACTTCATTTTCCTGAGTGAATTTTTCAGGGATATTTTTTTATTGATATCATGTTTCTTCACTTCCAAGAGTCATAGTTTGAAAGCTATGCTCTATATGTGCACTGATTTCTAGTGAATCCCACTTTTTTCATGGTCTTCATGTCCCTCTCAAACATGATACTGCTGTATTGGACGCAGGGTAATATTTGGTACCTTTTTTGGAGAAAAAAATTCGCGTCCAAAAAGCCAGAAAATACAGTAGTCTAAATTTAATATTTCGAATAATCAAAATATTTTATTAAATTTCAATATGCAAAGCAAATTTTATTAATTAAAAATAATACTTTGCTTATTGGAAATATTAAATTTCAACTATTAAAATTAATTTTAAAACTTAGGTATCGCGTTTTTGTGGAGGTACCTACTTGTTCTTCTGAAGGTTGTAGTGATGAAATAGTCGGTTCAAAAAAAAGCTGCTTGTTGGAAGAAATGATCCGTGGACAATACAGAAATATACCAATACGAAGGGAATAGGGTGGTTCACTAAAATTATTTGGCGTGTCTTAATAATTTTTAATAGTTAGATTAAATGGAATATTTTACGTAGTTCTTTTAAATTTTCCATAAAAATACCAATATTTAGCAGCAAGACGCCCACAACGTTTCGTCTGTGAGAGAAGAGTTGTAGGGCAGAATATAATTCATCACCCATAAGGACGCGGAAATATTTTGGATGCCTTTTAAGACTAAATGGGGAAAAATAGCAAACAATATTATATATTTTAAAAAGTTTTTTTTCGGAAAAACACAGAATTATGTTGGTTAATTATTTTCTTTTATTTTAAACTAGCAGGGCTACTCGGCGTTCTCCATGTATTATATTAGAATAATACTAGTAATGTATGAATTTATGATGAACAATATTATTAATAATAATATTTCTATATAACAATTTTCATGGCAATTTAATTTTTTTCGCTTCCATATAATAAATGCGAATGTCAGTGTGTCACACTTATTCAATTAAAGGGACACAACTCTCTAACTTTCAATAAATCATGTTACAGAAAGTTTGGATTCCCAAGTTTTCATTACTGCGATTGTTTTCGACGATTTTTATGTGATTTTTTGCGACGAATTTTTCAGTACGATAACAATTTTTGTAACTTGGAAATAAATTTAGGAATAATCGAAATTCATTGCGAAATCCAACGAAAATCACCCATGAAATAAAAATAATTGTTTGTATGGAGGGTAAGGACCTACGTACATTGAATTGTCTTTAAATTAATTGGCGACAGAAGAATTATCATTAAACGTTTAAAAGGTACGCTTAAATATAAATGCAATACTTAAATGCAGCGATCAATTTTGAGTTCTTCTGTAGTTTATTGTTGCCTGTCGCACACGGCAACAGTATGCCTCTTAAAAAGAAATCTTTGCCAACAGAAGACAGATTGCAATAAAAAGTGCCAAGCCTGCAGCGAGAAAAAGAAAGACCTGTGCAACTGAAAACCCAGACCAAGCAGGAGCCAGAACTTCCAATGCTGAGAATATGCAAAGGACTGAGGTAGTCGAAGGCCCAATCAAGAGCCCTCCGAAGGAGATAGTTTAAATGCTGTCCAATAGGTAGGCTTTTAAGCTAATTTTAAATAAATACAAGACAAAGAATCGATAATTCTGTTTTGAATCATTCGGGTGCTTGTAAGTTTTTTTAATCATTTTACCTCAAGCAAGGCAATAAAGTCACTAAGAGGCAACGTGTTGCTCAGTGGGAAAGAATATGAGAACAAGATTATTAAAGAACGAGAACAATAAAAGAACAGAAATTAAGAAGACAAATTGCATTTAAATTTTTGAAGATCAAAGGCAATAAAGCCACTAGCTTGGATGTGCGGGCGGTGTAATGAATAACTGCACGGAATTTTTAATCAGAGAGCCGAGTTCCAATTCCCGTTGGGTTCGTTATATTCACTTACGCGCAAATACCCTTGGTAAAGGTATGAATCTACCTCTTCTCCCCCAGCTATAGGTTAATTAGTAAGACTTGTATTAATAAATCATTATTATCACCAAAAAATTCTTAGAATCTAAAAACATTTTCTGGCTTTAAATGATCTACAAAGGGTTGATAAACTGGAAAAAAACGAATCGATCAATCATTTTTTTATCCTGTTATGACTCTTTGTCATAAGACCCCTCACGACAAGTGCCTCTTCTTCGACATTCCAAAGGGTAATGAACTATGCAAGGCATGAGTGTTCAAATCCCTGCGGTATTCGATAAACCCACAGATCCGTAAGATAATATTAACTTTTAAAACCAGACACAAGAAACTTCATCTGACAGACAGAGAATTTGATTAGGATAAACATTGAGTTACGGACAATTTGCTTGTAATGTCCCAGTGGGGCTTTTAGGGAAACAATACAGTTTTAATGCATGGCTTCATTTCTTAATAATCATTAATTTGTACCCAGGGAATTTCAATTTAAAATTGGTCTACAAATCTTACATTTATAGTCTTTTAGAATTATTATAACTCAACCTTTGCTCTCTTTTCTCTCTCTCTCTCTCTCTCTCTCTCTCTCTCTCTCTCTCTAAGTGTGTGTTTATGAGCGCATGCCTTTTTTTTCCAGGAAGTGGGTGATCATCCACAGCTTCCTTCATTTTACTGCTTTCTGTAATACCTCTTTGTTTATGACTCCCTTTTTTCGTGGTATGGCTTTCAGCTACTTTCCGCAGGCTGGGATCGATCACTCCAGTCCGATAGCATCAGGAAGTCTCCTTCTGACAAATCGACCATAGTGAGATTCGACCACTCGGCCACGTACCCATATCAATGCATTGAATACTGTTACCATATATGGTCTTTTTTCTTGCTCACTTAATACAAAGCCTAAGAAATTTAGACGGCTTACAGCCATATCACGTTGAAACAGTGGTTGCCGTACAGTCACCGAAATTAAACAACGTCGAGCCTGGCCAGTACCTAGAAGAGTGACCACTTGGGAATACCTAGTTTAGATTGTTTTGTTTTACAACATAACCACAATGCCGACAATTTTTATTGCTGGTAATATTTTTCTTCAAAAATGTATTGCTGGTAATATTTTTTTTCCTTCAAAAATCTATTTCTGGTAATAGTTTTTCTTCAAAAATATATCGCTTTTAATATTTTTTCAAAAAATATATAGCTGATAATTTAAAAAAAATATATTTAAATGTATAGTTTGGTTTGGTTTGATTTGTTTTATGGCATATCAAGTTCAATAGGTTCTTTAATGTCGACATTTTTTTTTTCAAAACTCTATTGCTGGTAATAATATTTTACAAGTTATTTCAGGTATTAAAACTTATTTTTACACTTTCATAGTGTCTTGACCCCAGTTTGTTCCTTTTTTAAGTATTTACCCATAGCTGGGAACTAACAGATGCTACCACCCCTGGTCAGGGTGGATCTTGGAACATCACCAACTAAGAGGTGGTCCCTTGCTTCTCAAAATCTCCCAATCAGAGAGCTTGCTGTTGGACGTAGTTTATCGTCATACCCAGGACGGGGGAATACCAGGTGCTGAAAGCTTGGATGTACGGGTAGTTTAATGGATAATAGCACGACATTGTTAATCGGAAGACTGAGTTCCAATTCCAGTTGGGGTCGTTGTAATTCAGTTACGCGCAAATACCATTGGGGAAAGTAAGAATCCACCTTTTCTTTCCCCGGCTATAGGTTAATTAATAATACGTGTATCTATAAATTTTTACTTTCTAAAAATATTTTCTGGCTTTCATCCTCATCATCCTTCGACTTCCCTGTGGTTGGTCGAAACACCATTGACAATCCCTTTCCACACTGTTCGGTCCTGTATTGCTGTGCCCAGATTCCTAATGTCCAACCCTGAGTCCTGGGCTAGCTGGGAATTTTCGTGAGAAGACACTTCCAGAAGGATGTCATAGGAGTAAAGATGAGACGATTTCCCTGTCTGCTCGGTGGCAGTGGCAGGCAAACTGTAATCGTTTTTGCTTGAGCTTAAAAGATATTCCTGCCAATTCTCCTTAAATTGTGTTAAGCATTACATGGGGTCTTCAACTGATATTCTGGATTTTTTTAAGTAGATTTGTATATGTCCCATCCAGTCGTCTTTTAAGACGAGCAGATAATGTCCAAGTTTCTGATCCATGCAGTAGGACTGGTTCAATCAGTTTAGACTTTAAATAACCTGTAAAGCGAATCAACGGAGGCGGTTCCTAAATGAAGCTCTTAAATGAACGTAAGGAAGAAGGTGATGATTATGAGGATATGTAGAAAAGATAACGGTTGACCCTAGATTTGAAGGGATTAATATTGTAGCGATGGGGACGCTTATACTCAGGAGTCTGTTCCACATATTGGCAATCCTTGAGAAGAAGCTGCCCAAATGGAACTTCCTCCTCACTAATGGAATACGAAGAGAATGGGGATGGCTCGTCGTTGTGTGCATAACATGGCGGGTCTTAGCTGTAAAGGTCTGAACTGGTAGATTGTTGCCCGTTAAAACATTCGCCATAGAAATAGCAATAGAGTAGCGAGATGTATTTTTTTGGAGCTTGTTCGTCCATCCTTTTCTTTTTAAATTTTATTAAGTACGTTTTCCGCTGTTTTTTTTTTTTACTTATTGAAGAATATTATAAAATAAGTCACATATTCACTAATTGAATATCTTTATTAGTACACAACTAAAACATTGTGCATATATTACCAATACTACTGTGTGTCTCAACGGCTGTTGTGATGCGTCTAGTGTGGTAGTCCGTAGTGGTAGTGCTTGTCGCTTCTTGCTTTCAGTTACCACCGCTGGCTAGCAGCAATGCGAAAGGGGGAGCCGAGTGCGTAAGTCTTCCCCTGCCAGTATATAGCCTCTCTATCAGCAAGCGCTATGTAGTGCCTCCTCGTGGTGACGCATGGTAACCGAACACCTTGGGGACGGGGGAGGAGTTTGGCCCCGTAACATGCGGCATGCAGGCCCACCGGTGCGTGGACACGCCCTGGTGCCCATGAACCAAATCCCAGATCTGGATCAAATAGCTCCACTGCCTTGTGGAAATGTTCAGGAGAAGAAAAGGCTAAGGTGTAAACCCTACACAAACCCAGAGTGGAGCCCCTAAGGGGGATGGACAGCACTTTGTGCTACCTTCCGGCAACTCCTGCAGCCGCGCTGGTACCAAACTGTATTGGTTCACTCTCTCCTCTGGACTCTACTAGCAAGGCTGAGAGGGGGAACAAGACGTCCGTGCAGCCCTAGTTCTCCATATATCCCGCCCAGGCTCGTAGCGCACTGGAGAGGACACTCCAGCGACGTCGGAAGACACCGGTGCGCTATTCCATCGTCTCCTGAGACGGACGGATGCCGACGACGACGACGACCAATACTATATACTTTTTATATTTTTGTTACAGTTGCCATCAAAATTAATACATTTCTTCAATATGAATAAGCGCCTAATTAATATCACCGAAGAAAATGGCGCCAACCAACTGGATCTTTTCTGACACCTCTGCAACACCAGTTACATGTATATGAAGCCACTTCCCGTTTCCCAATATTTAATTATACGAGATGGCATCGGAAAAATACTTAGCCTGGTATCTCCAAGAAGACTCCATCAGTGATTCCAATTATACGAAACAGTTGATCGATTGCTTAGCGATGAACCCTCATCAATGGGTTCACGATTTTATCCAAATTTGCTGGCGTCTTGCAGGTGATTGATCGCTTTAAGTATTGATCAACTCGAGCTGCTGACCGAGTGTTCCATCCCAAAATCTGTGAATCTTTGGCAAAAACAACTTAAGCCTTACTAGGTCTTCGGTAGTAGATTTGCCGAACTTCCTGCAAAATTTAATGCCGGCACGAATCTGTCAGCCACAGTAAAGATTGCAGAGCCGTTCCAGCATCACATTAAAAAACCTCGCGTGATAAAAGCCCCCGAGTCAATAGCATGGAAACTATTGACAGACCTGCTCAGTAAACTGGATATAACTAAACGGATGCTGTATCAGAATTTCCTTTGAACATAGAGTTCGGGAATTTTGCGATTTTCTTCTTTCAGGGCGTAGGCAATTATGGTCCTCGATAACTTCCCGTTCCTTACTTGCATTATTTACTTTATTCGGACTGTTATCCACATCTTCATTGCCATTTTAACAACGTTTCGGCCGTTGTACACTTTGTCTTCTTCAGGTGATTGGAATTTCGAACCGAACCCTTTATTTCGTCCACCGGAGTAGATTGTTCTAGTTCCACGTGCCATGCCTCTTCCAGATGTCTCAGTTATTTCCCTTTAACTCAACCTGCCAAGATTTGGTTCACCACTGCTGTGGCCTGGTATTGAACTCACAACTCTTTGGGTCTAGTCACTGGATCTAACCAACGTTTTTATACACTAGGCCATGTGTCCTCAAGGACACATAGCCTATTGGGTAAACTTGGAGAGTTGTGTTAGAGGGAAATAACTGAAATATCGGGAAGAGGCATGGCACGTGGAACTAGAACAATCTACCCCGGTGAGCAAAACAAAGGGTTATGTTCGAAATTCCAATCACCTGAAGAAGACCGGGGCTTGTAACGACCGAAGCGTTGTGAATATATCAGTGAAGATGAAGATAACAGTCCGAATAATGTAAATAATGCAAGCAATCATAATACCTCATCTCAGAGATATAGACAGATATTCCTGTTCCTTGCAGTTCATATTAACGTTTGTCTTTTTACCATCCCTCCAACCCATCCATTTAATCGAATTCATCGGTAGCTGGCCCGCTGCTTTCCTCTGTCCTTTGATATGATCTGTGAGTGTCATATTCACCAAGCCTTCCTTCCGCATTATGTCGCCAAGAAATTTCAGCCGTCTCTTTCTGATTCAGAGTAAAAGTGCGTCTTTTGTTTCCATTCTCATTAAAAAATTTCTTCGTTGCTTACGGGCCTCGTCTATGATTTTCTCAGCAGTTACAATTCTGTTGCCTCTAGTCTTGTCTTAATACGTGAGGACATTTCCTAGCATCGGCTATCATATTGAAAGATTGAAATTACATAACAGTCCGGTGTTGCTTTCTTTGAATTCAGAGTTTTTTTTCTTCTCCTAGGCTTGTTGCCCTATCAAAGCTAATCATGTTCTAGTTCTTTTCAGTCTATAGTGTTCTAGATGAGTAACGAAGAAGTGTGTTAAAAGGTAAATATTTATAGCGTTGAATAAATATCTTTTTCGTCATTTGGTGATGGGATGTCTTGATTTACCTAAATATATTTAAAAATTCCAAAAGATTGGTATAGAAGCATGTTGTAACCTAGGAAGGCTTACTGAATGAGGGATGACCATAACGCAGGTTGGAAATGAAATGGCAATCTTTATAACATCAACAAAATACAATACTCGCCAGCGCCGTGAAGTAGGTAAACCACTTCTAGTGGTGGACTACTTATACAGCATATTAACCCCACTTACAATTACAATAGTGTCCAACGTATTTATGAGGATTGGGACACACCCATAATTAGAGTATATAACACTTTCATATCCGAGAACAATAAAAGATTTTAAAACGTAATAACGTATAATATATAGTAAGGTATAATAATTTATAGTAATTGATGTAACCTAGGAAGTGTTATTGAATGAAGAATAACCAAAACGGAGGTTGGAAATGAAATAGTAATCTTTGTAACATCAAGAAAATACAATACACGCCAGCGGCGTGAAGTATGTAAACCGAAGGGGTAGATTGTTTTAATTTCACGGTGGACGAAATAAAGGGTTCAGGGCGAAATTCCAAGAACCTGAAGAAGGCCGGAGTGTACAACAACAGAAACGCTGGGAATAGGGCAACATAGATGAGGACAACAGTCCGAACAATGTAAATAATGTAAATAATTACAATACATCATCTCAGAAATATAGAAAGATATCAAATAAATTAAAATAAATTAGTCATAAATAATCTGCAGTGTCCTTTTTAGTCCCTTATATTATTGCCAACTAAGAGTGTTTTACATTTACATAAGTGGCGAAGTAATCGTTCTAAGTAACTCAGTTAATTGATATAAGTGCTGTGTTAATTTGTTGTATTTAAAAAAAATATTATTGCCAAATATGAAAAGGTACCAGGAGTTAGAGAACTTAAAACGATTACTTGGTTAATTATTTCAGTGCATTATTTTACTTAAAATTATTGCCATGTGATGCAAACAATAGTGAGTACTTTATTCAATTACGCCATAAAATTTATGCAGGCCCTCTTTTTAGTTACCTGTCACTTATAGCGATTTTCCAAGCATAGCTTAAATGCGGGACAAGGTCGAAATTATGGGGTATCCACTGAGGATCGAACTCGCTACCCAGTAGTAATTAGTCTCGGGAGTCAAGCTCGAGAACCATTACACCACCTCGAGGTGACCGACCCACTCTTTATGCTATTGCCAACTGACTCTTTTTATATTTACATAAGTGCCGAAGTAATCATTCTAAGTAACGCTTTAATCGTTATAAGTGCTGCGTTATTGCATTTTAAAAAGAAATTATTATTGCCAACTAAGGCTGTTTTTACATTTACATAAGTGGCGTAGTAATCGTTCTAAGTAACGTGGTTAATTGAAATAAGTGATGCGTTATTTGTTGCAAATTAAATTGTCGCCTGCAGATTACGCACAAAGAAATAAAATTGGTTAATCACGAAAAATGGTTGCACTTCGATCATTTCGACCAAAATCAATCGGCACCAAGAAGTTCGGCCAAGGAATGTGCAAAACCAAAAAATCGAAATAAAATTGACGGCTGCAAAATGTAAAGTCTTTGCAGACAAAATACTGCATAGCCCATGTCCTCTTCGACAATCATCTTTGGGGATTGAACTAATCACTCAGTAATAATTGATATAATGAATTGCTTTGGATGTAATAATATGCATTTTACAGCAGTGGATCTTCACCTTTTTTGAGACCCCTTGAGTCATGGACCCCTGTAAAAACTAGCCCTTCATAGTCAAACAAAAAGAAAACTCACAGTCTGATTTCTGTTTTCACAATACATGTACATGCATTTCTCTATACTGCACACTCATCACTTTTCAGCCAGTGACGCTTGAAAGAAATTGTAGTCAATTAATCCTCACCAGGATATGAGAAGATAATCCAGCCATGATAAACCGTGGAAAATGAGAATTATCACTTGCTGTTATGGAGTGGCAAAAGATGGCAATCGAGCAGAGAATGATGACACACGTTTAAATGCTAAACATAAGCCCAACAGCAAGTGAACAGCCGCCTAACGGTCGGCACTGTAAGTCGTGACTGGGTGCGTTTTCTTTCAAGCAGTGGTAGGATTCATTTTCTTTTATTTCTTTCAATGGGAAACTTTGGATTGGGACAAGGCTTGTAAAGCAAATATAAATGTTTTTATCTGATCCTTGCAGGCTCCTTGAAACATATCCATGGACGCCATAGGGTTTCATGGACTTCTGGTTAAGAATTCCTGTTTTATAGGAAAAAGAGGTGGGAATAGTCCAGCCTATAGGGTTATATTCTAGTGTAGACCATTTTATACTCGGGCGTATAAACTCGCATAGACTAACTTATATCCGGGTATAAAACAGACAAATTTAGAATAACCCCAGTTAAACTCTGGTCTTGATTAAATCCTTTCCTTCAATTTTACCCAGGGGTAGGGGTGGTGTTTATTAGATTCAGAAAGTTTACTAGTTTCAAAATAATTTTCTCTCGGCGGTACAATTATTTTTTTTCCATGTTTATTAGGCTCATAAAAATTCTCGGAGGAACGTTTATTTGAGCCGGCACGCTTTTTTTATTAGTTGAAAATGTCCAGGTGTATTTGGAACAAAAGTGTTGTCGCCATAAATGGCTATGCGTTTTCACGCTTGAAAAAGTCAGCACCAGCCGAGGCTACCAATTTCTTAAGACACTTCGATGTCCATATTAAAGCATTACCCACCGTCGATCTGTGCTCAAATCCATTTTCTTCTCTCTCCCAATTTCTCTCACCGTCTACTTCTCTCTCTCTCTCTCTCTCCATTTCTTTCGCCATCATTTTCACTCTCTCCATTTCACTTTTCACCTCCTTCTCTCTCCCTATTTCCCTGACCCACACCGATTTTTTTTCTTTTCTCACTTCTTCTCTCTCCCAATTTTTCTCTCGATTTTATTATGTCTTCCCGTTTGTATCCATTTCTTCTCCTCTCTCCCCGTTTATCGCTCCAGCTTCTCTCTCATTTTCTCTCTCCATCTTCTTCTTTCTCCATCTTCTTCTCTCTCCATATTTCCCTATCTTGATCTCTCTTCCTATTTCTCTTTCCATCTTCTATACTGTCCCAATTTCTCTCTCCCTCTTCTCTTCTATCTCCCCTCAATTTCTCTCTCCCTCTTCTCTTCTTCTATCTCCCCTCTATTTCTCTCTCCCTCATCTCTTCTTCTATCTCCCCTCTATTTCTCTCTCCCTCTTCTCTTCTTCTATCTCCCCTCTATTTCTCTCTCTCTCTCTCTTCTCTTCTTCTATGTCCCCTCTATTTCTCTCTCTCTCTCTTCTCTTCTTCTAACTCTCCTCTATTTCTCTCTCTCTTCTTTTCTTTTATCTCCCCTCTATTTCTCTCTCTCTCTTCTCTTCTTCTAACTCCCCTCTATTTCTCTCTCTCTTCTTTTCTTTTATCTCCCCTCTATTTCTTTCTCCCTCTTTTCTTCTTCTATCTCCCCTCTATTTCTCTCCCTCTTCTCTTCTTCTATCTCCCATCTATTTCTCTCCCTCTTCTCTTCTTCTATCTCCCCTCTATTTCTCTCTCTCTTCTCTTCTTCTATCTCCCCTCTATTTCTCTCTCCCTCTTCTCTTCTTCTATCTCCCATCTATTTCTCTCCCTCTTCTCTTCTTCTATCTCCCCTCTATTTCTCTCTCCCTCTTCTCTTCTTCTATCTCCCATCTATTTCTCCCCCTCTTCTCTTCTTCTATCTCCCCTCTATTTCTCTCTCCCTCTTCTCTTCTTCTATCTCCACTCTATTTCTCTCTCCCTCTTCTCTTCCTCTATCTCTCCTCTATTTCTCTCCCTTTTTTCTTCTTCTATCTCCTCTATATTTCTCTCCCTCTTCTCGTCTTCTATGTCCCCTCTATTTCTCTCTCCCTCTTCTCTTCTTCTATCTCCCCTTTATTTCTCTCCCCATCTTCTACTCTGTCCCCATTTCTCTCTTTCTCTTTTCTTTCTCCATCTCCCCATCTCTCTTTATCCTCTACACTGTTCCCATTTCTCTCTCCCTCTTCTCTCCCTCCATCTCCCCTATTTCTCTCTTCATCGTCTACACTGTCCGCATTTCTCTCTTTATCGCTCTTCCTCTATGCTCCCCTTTCTCTCCCCATCTTCTACTGTGTCCCTATTTCTTTCTCCCGTTTCTCTTCCACCATCCCCCTAGTTCTCTCCCCATCTTCTACTGCCTCCCCATTTCTCTTCTCTCCTTTCATTCCCCCTATTTCTCTCTCCATTTTTTTTTTATTCTGCCTGCATTTTTTTCTCTGCATCTTCTCTCTCTTCATTTCTCTCTTGATCTTCCCCCTCCGTCACTTTCTCTTTCATCTTCTCTCTCACTCCCCTTTTCTTTCTCCATTTTCTCTCTCTCCCCATCATTTTCTCTCTTCATTTTCTCTCTTCATTTTCTCTCTCACTCCGCTTTTCTTTCTCTATCTTCTCTCTCTTCCTTTTACTCTCTCTCTCTTCCTTTTACTCCCTCTCTCTCCCCTCCCCCATCTTCTTGTCTACTGGTTCCTGTTAGTTGCTATTCAAATATTATACAATGCCAAATTCCTTTGAATGCAAATTTATCGCAACAACTGAATGGGATTTCAAATGTCCCTATCCAGTGTGAGTGTTACCTTTAACACTGATTAAAGAGACGCCATTTTTCAAATCACGTCCTTTGAATGATGAGCCTTTAATTTACCAAATTCTAGCATGTTCCCATTCTGAAATCATTTCATGTCCATTTTGGTGAATATGAATTCTATTCACTCCTTGAGCGTCGAAGAGTAAAAGCAGAGACCAGTGCACTTTGGAAAATCAAAAGAAGTGTTTTAATGGAGTATCTTTTAAACAGCGTCTTCTTTTTTCACGGTTATTCAGATTTTTAAAGCAGTGGAAATTAATGAATTGGTAATTTAAGACTCTGATTAAATAGAGAAAAATAAGAGAAAGTTCGAGTCTTTTATTCTTCTTTATATACCGCCACCTACTGGGCGTTAAGAGAAGTCCATTGGCAGACAAGGTGAAGTAATCGCCCAATTTGATCATTTCTTTTTAATCAAGAAGCGAGAGTGTAAATTGCTTGACTGAACATTCAAAAATGAAAAAACTAAACTTTTGCTCTGTAAAGCAAATATTTTAAATAGAGTTATACAACAATATATGATCATATAAAGATATAAAGACGAATACTCCACAATTCTAACTTTAATATCTCAGGGGTGGGGACAAGAAGTACATTACAACGTTTCTTTCTTCTTTGCTGAAAAATTATGAAGATTAAACACTTTTGTGGTGTATCTGAAGTAAAACAACTATCAGGAATAGTATGTCACTTCCCCATACTTCTGTTCGGTTCAGGAGGTATAAACGGTTGACAGCATGACCTTCCATACTATACTTTAACACTGATTAAAGAGACGTCATTTTTCAAATCACGTCCTTTGAATGGTGAGACTTTAATTTACCAAATATTTCAATTCTGAAATCATTTCATGTCAATTTTGGTGAATATGAAGTCTATTCACTCCTTGAGCGTCGAAGAGTAAAAGCAGAGACCAATGCACTTTGGAAAATCAAAAGAAGTGTTTTAATGGAGTATCTTTTAAACAGCGTCTTCAATTTTTCACTGTTATTCAGATTTTTAAAATAGTGGAAATTAATGAATTTTTTAAATGAGACTGCAAAGTTATTCTTTTTTTAAAGCAAAAATAAAATAGGCTGTTTTAATTGTAGCCTCCATCCTCAAACAGAATTCATTTTGTCACAGAAAGAGGTTACTAATTCTAACGGTATTTGGTTGAAAACTTTCAAATTAAATGAATTCAAAACATTCGTGGATTTTATATATATTTATATTTTATCACTTTAAACGTTATTTTTAATGGATACTCGTATTTGAATAGGCGCTCTGTTTATCATTATATATTTATTTAGTTTCACCTACAGGCCTGAATGTTCGAGAAAAAGAAAAATTTGCTCTCTCCGGCATGGAATTGAACCTACATCCCTCAGAGCAGACGGAGCTATCGTTTAGCCCGGTACGCCTTACAAGCCAAGTCAGTAGAAAAACTTGCACTCTCCGACAGAAATCGAAAAATTGGCACCGTTTGATAGAGGTTTGATTCCTGTCAAAGGACGCAAATTTTCTTTAATAAGATTTCTCGGACATTCAGGCTGGTAGATGAAAATAAATATATCGATGTTTATATACAGAATAGCAGAGCCCAGAAAAGGGGACAAATTATATTAATAGGATTAACAGTAGGGTGTGTGTGTGTGTGTGTGTGTGTGTGTGTGTGTGTGTGTGTGTGTGTGTGTGTGTGTGTGTGTGTGTGTGTGTGTGTGTGTGTGTGTGTTGCGCAACGTGGTTCAGTTGAGCCTAAATATTTGGTTCACTCTTGAAAAGAAGTCTCCCCTGATAGGAAATGAGACACGTCTTGTTACTAAAGTATTTTCTGATTAAATAGAGAAAAATAAGAGAAAGGGAATTCTAGCCTTTTATGCTGCTTTATATAACGCCACCCCACGAGCGTTAAGAGAAGTCCACTGGCAGACAAGGTGAAGTAATCGGACAATTTGACCACTTCTTTTTAATCAAGAAGCGAGAGTGTAAATTGCTTGAATGAACATTTAAAAATGAAAAAAGGAAACGTTTGGTCTGTAAATCAAATTTTTTAGATAGATTTTCAAAACATTATATGATCATATAAAGACGAATACTCCACAATTCTAACTTTAATATTTCGGGGGACAATTTATAATCACAAGAGATAAATTTCAACGGTTCTTTTTCTTTGCTGAAAAATTATGAAGATTAAACACTTTTGTGGGGTAGTTGAATGAAAACAACTATCAAGAATATTATGTCGCTTTCCCGTTACTTCTGTTTGGTTCATGAGGTATAAACGGTCCACAGCATGACGTTCTATACTATAGGCCTATTCATGTGACAACTCAAGCCCAGAACTAGAAACTTATTTTAAAAGCTCCTCCTTCCATTGGGAACAACGAATTTTATTTTTGGTTTGAATCTGCACTCGTTCAACGCTGTAGTCGGGTTAAAAAATTGAAATAAATTTTTGTATTTAAACTTGGAATAAACTTAGCTTATTTAATTGAAGTAAGTGTGTGATATATTTATTTCATTTCCTCGGGAAAATATTATGACATGCTAAAAACAAACATTTTGTGCAAAGTTTAAAAAATGTAATTTATAAATTTTGTTCTTGTTACTTGGAAGTTAATCTGACGTTTTTCACTTAAAGTTAATTTAATTTTCTTTATGAATTTTTATTCCTTAAAAGCAAATACACAAATGATAAACTTTAATTATTTGCGTAACATGTTTCTAACAGATCAAAAAGTATATTGAATTTTTGCAACAGTTCTGTAACTTTACACCGCAAAACAAAAGAAAAGAATGAAGATGAAGACAAGGTCGTCTGCTCCAATCGAAAAATACATAATTTTTCTTGATTTAAGGAAATCATTTATTAGGTTGTTGCATGAATTCGTTCGTTTTTTATCATTTATTTTAATATTTATTATTTATTAATAGTTCTGATAAATCAGTCAACAATGCATTCCTCTTCATTGTTTACGATCTCCTGCTAAAGTTCCACTGTCCAATGACTCCATGATATAAATCACTAGGTTTTGAATCGAAAAATTCATCAAGCCACATTTTACGTTCCACGTTGTTGAACGAAACACTCTTGAAATTGTTACAAAGCAACCGAAAAAGATGATAGTCTAAAGGGACTAAATCAGGAACTGGAAAACCATTTCTGTGCCATTCTGTCAGTAACGAAGTCATCTCCGTACACGGCACAAAATGTATTAAACAGCTTTGTGGCCTCGATTAAAATCAAAGAGAAGATGTCGAACATGTTCATTCTTGACTTCTTGGCATTCCATTTCAAATGGATGTCTAATCTGAAATAGAACTTCAATAACGTTAGACAACAGTTTCACAGGATAACCAACCTAAGAAGTTACTTGCAGCTCTCAATAAGTTCCTACTCTCTGCTACCTCTCCCAAACCACGTTCTCTTATTCACTTTCTTAAGCCTGCTAGGTATGTCATGCGTTGTTTTCCATTGTCTCTCTTTCCCTCTATTTGACCCGTGAGTATCAGATTCTCTAGGCCCTCCTTCCTCATTATGTATCCCAGGAACTTCAGTTGCCTCCTTTTGATGTTAAGTATAAGCCTCCTCCTTGTTTGTAACCTCTCTAAGAACTCATCATTGTTCACACGCTCCTTATATATATCCTTAGCATCCTTCTGTAGAACCACATCTCCGTCGCCTTGAGTCTCTTCTTCATCTTTTAAGGAAATCATCCAACATTCGCTGCCGTAAAGAATGTCACGTAACAGCTCAGTATTCTT